AACTACATGAGCTGAGAGCAGCGTTTTCTGGCTGCCGGCTCCTCCATGCTGGGATCCCACTTTGGATCCTCTCCCGGCCCCGGCGCTTCCCAACCCCACCCAAGGGAAGATTCTGGAAAAGGCAAAGCTCAGAAAGGATGGGCTGAACGCGCTCATCCCCCTGGGAACGCTGCAGGGAGAGGGGAAGGGGATGTTTGGCGCTCGGGAAAAGTTATCCAGCGCTTCAAAAATAGCAACTAATCCCGAACCCGCGGCTCTGCCGCTCTTCCCGGGGAGCCGTGACGGATTAATGAGGGATGCGGCTGCAAGTGCTGCAGCCACCGCGCTCCCCTGGGCTTCCCACAGAATTCCAGCACAACCCTGCTGAGCTGGAGCTGGGGGGGATGGAAGGGGCGGCTGTGGGGGCTGCTCCGGCCCTGAGGGATGGAGGGATGGGAGCGAGAATCCCACAGCGTCCCAGGGCATCCCGCAGCAATCCCATGGACATGCCGGAGCGCCCCTGGGTGTCGCTGGGCAGGGGCATCCTGCACATCCTGGGGTATCCCGTGGCATCCCAGGGTATCCCACGGTATCCCTGGGATATTCTGCAGCATCCTGGGGTGTCCCACAGCATCCCAGGTATCCCACAGCACCCCGCAGGATCCTGGGAGGGGCTGGGCCTCCCTGGCCATCAGCGGGAATATAGAAAATAAATCTCTCCAGGGAAAATCTCTTGGAGCAGGGACCTTTCCAGCCCAAATTCCTGGGATTTAAACAGCTTTTCCCAGCTTGCTGTGCCTGGAAGGGTGCAGGGCTCCGGGATGACCCTGGGCAAGGATTGGCCGTGCCGGGGTGGAATGCCAGGGATCAATCTCCCAGAGGATTTATGGATTTTGGGAGAAAGAGGGATGAGCAGGAGGGAGGGTGCATCCAGTAACCGCGGGAGTGGGGCCAGTGGACACAGCACCGGAGCAGCCCCGTGACAGGAATGCTCACATGGAAAAACTCTGGATTCCCATCCCCACCTCCCAGTTCCACAGCTCCAGTGTTTCCTTGGGGAATTTCGGGACACCCTGGTGCCACGTGGCCCCGCACCCCAACATTCCCCCTCATCCCTCGGGAATTCTGCCGCTCCCAGCCCCCGTCCCGGGAAGGCGTCAGGCTCCAGAGTTTCGCCCAGGAAAGAGAAATTTGGGATTAAAGCAGTGCCTCTATCTGCACATATTTATAGTGCTCCGACGGATCTATTTTAGCTGGAAAGCCGGGATGAGCTCCCTCGGGAGCATCCCTGGAGTCACATTTTAAGGGACTTGGCTTCTCTTTATGGTGCTCATTTGCATTTGATATCCATAAAAAAGGCAGGCGTTGATAAAAGGCGGATATTTATCCTATTCCTGGCTTGGCAGAGGAGGGTTGGGAATGGCACCGGCGAGAAAACCAATCAAAACCAGGGAAAATGAAAGCTGGAAGGTCCTGCCGGGATCGTGGCCGCTGGGGTTTTAAGGGATGGAATAATTTGGGGCATTAATCCCCCGCTGGAACAGAGCAGGGGGGAGCAGGGATCTCCATGGAGCGGGATCATGGAGCTCCAAAGAGGAGAAACACGGAACAGGGACCCCTGTGGAGCGGGGAACCTCATGGAATCGGGACCCTGCAAGGCACAGGACCAAGGAGCAGGGAAGAGGTGCCAGTCCCCCATCCCATTCCCTATGGATCCTGTGGGCATTGGGACTCTAGGGAGGTGCCAGCCCCTCATCCCAATCCCTACATATCCCAGGGGCACCACGGTGGGCTCTGGGATTCCAGAGCGGTGCCAGCCTCTCGAATCCAGAAAGAGTTCAGTCGATCCCAGTTCCTCCTCCCAGGCACGTGGGAGTTTCATCACTCCTGACAATTCCCATGGCCAGGAAGGGGGAGCTGCATTTTCCCAGCATTTCCCACTGGCTTTGACAATGGATAAAATCAGACTCCGGGATATTTATAGGCAAGAGCACACGGAGAAGGACAGGTTTAGGACACGCTCCACATGGCAGGAGTCAGCTTGGGATAGGGTTGGGAATGCTTACTCTCCAGCTGGATCCGGGGATGGAATGCCCTCATTGCTCCCAGTGTTTGGGCCCTGGAGGGGGACGTTTGGGGGTTTGGGGGGCACTGGGTGGGACTAGGGGTCCCTGGCTGGGCTGGCCATGTCCGGGGTGCTCCAGGATCTGTCGGCATCCGGAGCACAAGATGGATGCAACGGGAAAAGGCTCTGGGATGCGAGGGGCTGGAGGGACAAGGGGATCCCAAGGCACCATCCCAGGTCACCCCAGGTTACTTCCACACTGGGAGTATCATTCCTGGTCGTCCCAGGTCACTGGTTGGACTGGGAGCATCCCTGTGAGCAGGCACAGAGCCTCCCCCTTCCCAAACCCCATCCCAGTGCCGCTGCCTGTGTGGGACAGCGACAGGACACAATCCCCAGGTCTGGGAACAAAGGGATGGACAAAGACTCCCCAACTCCATCCTCGCTCCCCCAGGATCAGCATTCCCTCAGAGGAGCCACCTTTCCCAGTGTTTGATCCCCGGATCCGATCCCTTTAAACACTGATAGAATTCTTCATAACTGAGTTGTGAACGATCCCTGCTCAGGGTCATCTGGCAAACCCGGTTATTGCCATGGAAACGGGAGCCAGGGATGAGCCGCCCCACAGCCCCCCCAGCCAGGGATCTGGAGGATCAAGGAGCTCAAGGAGCAGCTGCTCACACCGGCAATGGGAACCCCCATCCCGGTCACCCTCTGCCTGCTGAGGAGGCAGCACATGGAAATGCCTGGGATTTGGGAAGCTTATCCTCATCCCCATTCTCATTTCATCCTCATTCTCAACCCTCATCCCCATCCTCATCCCCATTCTCATTCTGATCCTCGTCTTCATCCTCATCCTAAACCTCACCTTTGTCCTTGTCCTCATTCTTATCCCATCTCCATCCCATCCTTATCCCTATCGCCATCCTCATCCTCACGTTCTTCCTCATCCGCATCCCCATTCCCATCCCCACCCTGGAGTTTCCCATCTTCTCCCAAATCTGGGGTTTCCCACCTACTCCCCTGGTTTGGGGTTCCCCACCTGCTCCCGAGTTTTTTTGGGGAGAACATCCTTCCCAATTCCAAGCTCAACTCCCCCTGTCCCAGTCCGGCCCAGTGGGCAGCTCCGGTGCTGGATCCCGGTGGATCCACGGTGCATCCCGGTGCTTCCCCTGCGGAGCAGGTGGCTGGGGGGGCTCACCTGCGAGCAGGAAGGTGATGAGGCAGGTTTCCTTGGGCAAGAAGAGCTTCAGGCGGGAGCCGCTGAACACGTATTCCACCACGGCCTCGGAGCGGCCGGCGCGCTGCAGGAACGGCAGGAACTGCTTTGCCTTCTGCGTGTCCTGCAGGGAGGGGAAAGAGGGGGGGTCAAAGTGGGAATGTGGAGACTCCTCGGAGTCCAGGGACCCTCTGGAATCGCCACAGCCTGCCGTGCACCCCAGGACATGCCCCAAAACACCCCCATGGGAGTGGCTGCCTGGCACAGGCAGGTTGGATTCCGTGCCATCCCTAACGGAGCATCCTGGGACTCCCCTTTCCCAGGATTCCCCCCGAAACATCCCAGCGGCAAATCGCTCGATATAACTCCTTATTAATATTCATTAAGAAATACTTAACGAGCTCTCAGGGCTGGTGGGGGTGTCAAGATCCCCATATTCCCTCAGCAGAGCTGGGGGATCCCAGATCTCCACCGGCATTCTGGTGTTGGGTCCGGTCACCCGGTTCCCAGGCCACGAAGCTCCACGGGACAACTCCCAGTATATTTATCCAAGGAAGAAAGGGGAAAAAACCCCAGCAAGTTCCCAAAATCAAAGGCTCCGGGTGGTGTTTTATCCCATTTTATCCTGGCTCCCCTGGCAGAGCGGTGCCAGCAGAATTCCGGCATCTCCTTACCCCGGAGATATCGGCCACCCGGTGAATCGGCACCTCCTTCTTGCTGTGCAGTCCCTTCCCGTTCTTGATAGCCCTGGAAAACAGGGAGCACCGGGAGTCAGCGCCTGCTGCGGCGGGAAGAGCCGGAGTCATCCTCGTGCCCGCCGGGAGAGCCCGGACACTGCAGCTGGATAATCTCAGTCACGGGAATAAGGTATTCCCGGGATAACATGGAGGCAATGAGGAGCCTGAATGAGGGAATATATGGAGGGCACCGAAGGGATTGGAAAACCCAGTGGGAATGGTGGGGCCGGTGCCGGGTCTGGACTTGATGCCAGACCTGGATCTCCTGCCATAGGGTTGGGCACGGGAGGCTGGGAAAGGTTGGAATGTGTTGGGATGCTGGAGGAGCCCACAGCACGGGCACAGGTCTGGGATGTGACTCCAGGCTCTGCTGAAGAGCCCGGAACATCAAACAGATCATCTCGACTGCTCCGAGCCCCTCTCCGCTGGGAGATCTGGGCCTTGCACCCCAAACTCAGCCCAAACCTCCCATTCCCTCCATCCCTGGCATCACCCTGGAGCTGCCGGCACTTCTGCCCAGTGCCAGCACAACCACGGAGTCGGGATGTGCCAGGGATTCCAGCATGGACAAGCCACCTCTGCCACCAGCCCTGCACCGGGAGTGAGCGGGACCATCCGGCACCTCCACGGTGGGAACATCCAGGATCTACCCCCCCAGCACCCGGAGTGCTGCTCCAGGCTCCATGTGCCACATCCCAGCCCGGGTATCCCAGTGCCTGGCTGGAATCTCGCCCACGTCGCAGCGCTCGGAGATGCTGATTTCCTGCCAGGCCTCCCAAAAGGCACATCCCAGGAATGAGTCTCCGAGCAATCTGCCGGCCGCCCACCCCACGGACACGGA